GGGAGAGCGAGCGAAGGTCTGGCTGGTGGTTGTGGTGCGGGGGGGGGGGCAGGAGGAGGAAGTGGGGGGGGGCACTGGGGCTGGTTGGGTCTGGATGGCGCATGAAGGATGGCGATGGAAAGCAGAGAGATGATGTGGTGGCAGCGGTGGTGGCGGCGGCGGTGGCGGTGGAGTGGAGGGGGGGGGTTGCCGCAAACCTGCCGGGTGGAATAAATAAAACTGTGGTTTATGGGGACTGGGGCCCCACGCTTCGTGATCTCGCTCCAAGACAATAACCCCTTTCGCGAGAATGCACGGCGACGTTGGTTATTTTTCGTTATATTTTCACATCTTGTCATTTTGGCCCGGCTTTACCCGAGACGGGAGCAATCCGTTCGGATCTCTCTCTCGCGCAGCGGTGCGACGCTTCGTGCAATAATAGAGAACGGCTCGCGTAAGCGGGTGTCGCATTGCTACCGCCGAGATCCCTTCTCCGTCCTCCTCTAACACGTGACGCACCTTTCCACGCGGCGTGGCAGAGAGGGGGGGTGTGTGGGGGGGGGCGCCGTTTTCACCGCTCGCTCCGCGTGCGAGAGTCGTGATGGTCGCGCGGCGCTCACTCCGACACGTTCATTCGCGGAGCCGGGCTTTGGCCAACGTTGAAGTGCGCAACGAAGTTGAACTGTTGACGGGTTTTTATTTTAAATATTCCTGCACCAATTAATTATCGGTGACCGAGGGGGTGAGAGACCATCATCTCGGCAGACGCCGAGAACCTGGCTTAATCGCAATCCGCGATCTCCTCAATGGCCGCGTGTTTAATATTTTTCATGTATAGCCGACGGTTGGTGCCGGCCCCCGCCATAGCAATGTGGAATTTTTATCACCGGCTCGAAGGGATTGTTCATACTCGTTGCTCGTTTTGAGAGCTCTTTTGAGAGAGAATTCGACTTGGGATTTGAACGTTTCGCTTGCTCGTGATCACGTCGGATGTCACGGATACGAACAGGTTCTCATTGGTCGCCGGATATCAGGTGGTTTCTAAGGCAGTCCAATCGTGAGAGCCGGCTGGATTTCGAGCAGGTTTTTCTACCGTCGGCCGAATAGATTAGTGAATGCGTTATTTGCGCTGCTGCTGCGATGTCAGCGGTGCAAGAGCGCAGTTAACCACAAACATTTCAACACTTTCCGTGGCAATCGCAACTGCGTGGCATCACGAGAAAAACTAAATATATACGCAATGCAGAAGAGCCATCGACGTATCTGTGAATCTGTCGAGTGTTCATTGACACGGGTGTTGGGTTTTTTCGTTTGTTAATTGTGCTTGTGCACCACTGCCAACGCACTAGCAGCTGCAGCACAATTAGTTTGTAATATGAATCTATAAACAATTTTAATGTTACCAGGTAAGGCCCCAACTGAGCCGCCTAGCTGTTTTTCAGAAGCGACCCCGACTATCGCAAACGATAGCCCAACGAAGTGGCCCATCGCGTGGAAATTTGTAGCAGCCAAATACTCGAAGCGCGTGGTGTTCATTCTAAATGTGGAGGGAAAAACCGGACGACCCGGTGAAAAATACACGCCACCACAGGGAGAGAGAGAGAGAGATGCGCAAAAACTCCAAATATTATTCCTGCAACCAGGGGGGCCGTCCATAGGGGGGTTGGCGAGGCTCCGGGGAAAACCACACCGGGATGTATCGCATCTGACACCGTGACGTCGAAGCTCGTGGCGGGGGGGGGGGGGGGGCCCAAAGCGCAGGGCCCGGGGCAGTCGCCCCTGGTTCACTCCGTAGCCACCATGGTTGCAGTGTTTGACGTATGTACGACAAGGCAATGACATTAAAACTACGCAGGACGATGAAGCAGATAGAAACATCGGAAACCAAAAAAAACGAGAAATCGGAGCAGAAACAAGATAATAATAATGGACACGCGCACACGCACGGAACTGGGTCCCTTTATCCACAACTGTGCGGCAGTCTCCTGCAACGACGTCCAACGCGGCGACATACCGTGAAGCGGATCCTCGGTATCAAACCGATTCCTGCGGCCACAGCGGGCACAGACGATGGCGCCCAACTCTCCGATTCCGTCGGTGCCAAAGGCAGACGACGGGCGACAACACCCCCCCCCCCTGACTTGAGACGATTCCCCTCCCCGCCCCACTCGTCTGACAGACGAGGTGTGGGACCTCGCCGACACCACCAGAGGGAGCAGGAACTCTGGGCAAGCGACGAGACGAACGAGCAAGCCAGGCGCGGCACTCGACGTCTGCGCCAGAGGTCGCAAACGGGTTTTGAATCCTTACCCGTACCCGGACCCGGCCGCACCAGGGTCGCAAACGGGTACCCGTACCCGGCCGGGTACAGGTAGCCGTTCCGTACCCTGTACCCTACCCGAAATGAGTGACAAACGGTGACTCACCAGTGACTCACGGCCTACCCGTACCCGACCGCACCAGGGTCGCAAACGGCTACCCGTACCCGTACCTGGCCGGGTACGGGTAGCCGGGTATCGGGTAGGGTACGGATATCGGGTACCCGGTTGCGACATCTGATCTCCGTCGGTGACCCCCCGTGATTTCCGCATTTGCCATGGCGTCGCCCCAGCAGTACGCATGTTGACCAGCGGTGATGTCGCGAGTGGAGCAGGTGCTCGTTTAACCCACCCTGAAAAGAGGATGATGGGTTTCGATAATTACCCGTCGGCCGCTGTTGAACTCGTGACCTTCTGACCGTGAGCTGACTTCTCAGAACATCGTAACAGAGGGGGGGTTACGCAGGTGAGGGGGTGGTCACTGGGTAGGGTGCATATCCCTCGAGAGATGAGCGCTACAACCTTGGACATGTCTGATTGGGACATGTTCTCTTTTTTTATTCTCTTATATTTTTTTTATGGAGGGTGGTGGCAGGGTGGGGGGATTGTGGCCAGAGTGGTGTGAATGGTTTAGCGCACTCCACTAGGCTGGCTGGGTGGCTGGGTGGCTGGCTGAGTGCGTGGCTGAGTGGGTGGCTGGCTGGGTGGGTGGCTGGCTGGGTGGGTGGCTGGCTGGGTGGGTGGGTGGCTGGCTGAGTGGGTGGGTGGCTGGCTGAGTGGGTGAGTGGCTGGCTGAGTGGGTGAGTGGCTGGCTGGCTGGCTGGGTGGGTGGCTAGCTGAGTGGGTGGCTGGCTGAGTGGGTGGCTGGCTGGCTGGGTGGGTGGCTGGCTGAGTGGGTGGCTGGCTGGGTGTGTGGCTGGCTGGCTGGTTAACTGGCTGGGTAGGTGGCTGGCTGGCTGGCTGAGTGGGTGGGTGGCCGGGTGGTTGGCTGGGTGGGTGGCTGGCTGACTGGGTGGGTGGCTGGCTGGCTTGCTGAGTGGGTGGGTGGCCGGGTGGTTGGCTGGTTGGCCGGGTGGTTGGCTGGTTGGCTGGGTGGCCGGATGGTTGGCTGGCTGGCTGGTTGGTGAGTGGCTGGGTTGGTGGCTGACTGGCTGGCCGGGTGGGTGAGTTTCGTGGGTTGGCATGTGGGTGGCTGGATGGCTGGCGTGCGTGTCAGTGTGTGTGTCTTTGCGTAATGGACCTCTAATTGGTTCTGCCCAATTTCCTCTGGGATGTTCAAATTGAAAAACTGGCGCGCGCCACAACATTAATTGTGTTTGGAACAAAGTGCGACAATCGCGCCGTGCCATCCGAGCATCTCCATCAGAGGCCGCTCGGTGTCACGGCTGTTGTGTTAATTTATTTGCCGCCCGCGTGAATAAAAAAAAAATGTTTTACACAAACGGCGCGACGCCTCGCCGCTCGCAGCTCCTCGCGCCGTCCGTCGGCCCGTCATAAAGCTGCCGGTGGAAATTCCACGGTTAAATGTCAGGGACGGAGTCTCGTACCCACCACCAACGGACAACCCGCTTACGAGTGCACTTTTTGTTCACACTTGGCCCCGCCCGTTCAATATTTCTCTTTCGCCACGCGCCCTTCAGGAGGGGATTTCCCCACCAGTGACTTCCCGCAGAGTGGCTCTCAGTTTATTCCCCCAGAAAGAGATGATGATGGTGCTGATGATTACAGTGGTGGTGGACAGGCTGCACCCTAACAGGCTAATAGTTTCGTGGTGGCGAGATGTTATCTCCCTCACCTGGTATACAGGAGGTCGTGGGTTTGATCCCAACCCTGACGCCTGCTGCTGTATATGTGGAGCTTGCATGTTCTCCCCGTGGTCATGTAGATTTTTCCCCGAGTCCTTCGGTGTTTTCCTCCATATTTAGAATAAACACGCGTTTAGAGTATTTGGCTGCTATAAATTTCCACGAAATTAGCGCACTTCGTTGAACTAGTTATTTGTGATAGCCAGGTATTTTCTTACCTGCTTACCTTGGCACTAGTGTACAAGCACAGCTTCCAAAACTCAACAAAAATTTTTTTTACCAGGTATGTACCTATGTTGAACTTCTTTCGCACCCTACGTAGCCAACTGTGCTAATCGGAGATGCGGGGGAAGGACAACAAACTAAACGCAACGCTTCTAAGGACGTGAGTTTTCAATCCAGATTTAAAAGTGCGTAGCTCCTCCAATGCCTTCCTCATATCGGCAGGAAGAGCGTTCCAGACGGCCGCAGAAGCGCATCCGAAAGTGCCGCGCGGTGCGGCGACCGTCGTCTTTGTTCGACGGCGGAGCCGAAAATTTTCCGCTGCAGCTGCTGCAGCTACTGCTGCTGCTGCAGCTGCTGCAGCTACTGCTGCAGCTGCTGCAGCTGCTGCTGCAGCTACTGCTGCTGCTACAACTACTGCTGCTGCTGCTGCAGCTGCTGCTGCTGCTGCAGCTGCTGCCGCGAGGATGGTGACCAGAGTTCGCGCGGCAACGGTTTGCGCTCCTTGCCGAAATCGTCGAGGTGCCGTGGGTTCGTTTTGCGGCGAGCGATTTCCGCACGCGTCAACGAGCGACGCCCGGCATTCGGCGAGGGAGTCCTGGCCTAGGCCTTGTCATCGCTTCAACGTGCGCCGCTCACCCACTCCCCTCCCCTCCCCTCCGTTCCCGTTCTCTAGGCCTCGCAAACAACCGTGAGCAACATCCGAACGAGAGTGAGGTCCACGGGACGGAGAGCGACGAGGCAGCGAGCGGTGGGGAAGAAGAGGAGCGGCGGGCGACGATAAACGGCAGACCGAAGGGGCGTCCGTCTTGAGAAATCGTTGGCCCCGACGCCTCCCACACGCCGACCCTCCCCCGCGGCCGTGCGACGCCGACCGGCCCTCTCCGTCCGCTACCGAGCAGCCCCAGGTGAGACCTTGGCCTCGGGGCGCGGCCGTCGAGAAGTGCGCAGGCGGTGTAACTGCACCGCCAGGGCCCCCCCCCCCCGTGGCGCTCCGACGGGGGTAGGGGGTGGGCACGAACCGAGGGACCTCCACGCCAACCGGGCCACGACGCCGCTGAGTCGCGTGGCATCACAGGGCGAGGCCGGAGGGATGCGGCTTTGACGCTTTTCGACTCGTGATTCGAGTCTAGCGCCTGCGAGTGATTGGTAAAAAAAACACCTTGATACACATACATGTGTGTATACATGTGTGTGCAGCGGGTCGTGTGCCGCCTGTCGTACATACGTCAAACACTGCAACCGTGGTGGAAGCCATCTCAGCGGCAGGCAGAGCCGTACCCTTGGCTACGGGGTGAATCGGGGGCGACTGCCCCAGGCCCCGTGCTTTGGGGGGCGCCCCCCCCCCCCCCCGTGAGCTTCGACGTCACGGTGTCAGATGCGATACATCCCGGTGTGGTTTTCCCCGGAGCCCCGCCACCCCCCCCCCATCGACGTCTCCCCTGATTGCAGGAACTATATTTGGAGTTTGTGTGTCTCTCTCTCTCTCTGCCCGTGGTCGCGTGCATTTTCGTCCGGGTCCTCCGCTTTTTCCCTCTACATTCAGCATCACGCGTTTCGAGTTATTTGGCCGCTATAAATCTCCACGCGACGCATAAGCCCACTCGGTCGAGCCGTCACTTGCGATAGGCAGGGTTCGGCTTCTGAATGAGTATAACCCGTAAAAACAAAGTTTGTCACTATAAATCCTTTATATGCGTGGCGGCTAGAGTCCTCTCGTCCTCTGGCTTGAGATGGCTGCCACCTATGGGTCAGATGATTGTCTGCAGTATTAAACAATTGGTAATTAAATATTGAAAAAAAATTCCCTAAACAGTGTAAAATTTTGGAAAAAAAATTTCTCGAACATTAATTGTCTCGCACAACGAGTCTGTGTGCAAAATGTCAGCTCGATTGGATCACGGGAAGTGGGTTATAAAACGACCGAAAGATTTGCACGGTCGTAAGCAAGCAAGCAAGCACGCAAGCAAGCAAGCGAACTTAATATAAAGGATTTAAAAAGAGCCACGCAGCTCAGCGGGGGGCCCTTACCTGATGAAAATTAAAGCAGCTTGTAGTTTTTTTCGGTTTCGGAAACTCGCGCGTTCTTTCCACTGCCGTGCCCACCGGGGAGATCGCGACGAACCGGCGACTTCACCCCCCCCCTTCCCGGGTTGTCCGGCACGCTGACCGGCGTAGCGGCTTGCTCCCGTCTCTGCGCCAGACGGGTGAAGCACGTCACGGCTGTCGGCTCGAGGGACGTTTAGGCGCCGCGAAGAAGTGGCGACGCGCGTGGGCGGCGGGACGAGTGACTCGCGTCCTCGTTCGGTTACCCGTTCGGTTACCCGTTTGCGTACCCTACTATTTGGTTCTTTCGGTAAAGTCACGTGGGTAGAAAAAATAACAGATTGCGACGTTTCGATCGCAACACAAGCAATCGGTCATCAGGTGTGAAACAAACAGCAGCAGAGGAGGACTGCTGACGTCGGAAACGTCGTGATCTATTATTTTTTCTACCTACGTGACTTTACCAAAAGAACCAAAGAGTATGGATTCCTGCAGTCACGAAAGCTTCCAATCAAGATTGTGTGTTTACCCGTCTGTTTAACAGTGTGTTTACCCGTTTGTTAACCCATTCGTTTACCCGTCTGTTTAACAGTGTGTTTACCTGTCTGTGTAACCCATTCGTTTACCCGTCTGTTTAACAGTGTGTTTACCCGTTTGTTAACCCATTCGTTTATCCGTCTGTTTAACAGTGTGTTTACCCGTTTGTTAACCCATTCGTTTACCCGTCTGTTTAACAGTGTGTTTACCCGTTTGTTAACCCATTCGTTTATCCGTCTGTTTAACAGTGTGTTTACCCGTTTGTTAACCCATTCGTTTACCCGTCTGTTTAACAGTGTGTTTACCCGTTTGTTAACCCATTCGTTTACCCGTCTGTTTAACAGTGTGTTTACCCGTTTGTTAACCCATTCGTTTACCCGTCTGTTTAACAGTGTGTTTACCCGTTTGTTAACCCATTCGTTTACCCGTTTGTTTACTTGTTTGTCGTCGGTGCTGGTGACCAGGCGGGGATGGAAAGCCCGGACATGGGGCACGAGGGACGGGACAGGGGTCGGGCAGACGGCGAGCGGTCGGACAAGTACAGACAGGTCGGCACCTCGCTTCAGCAGAACCACGGACGGCTCTCGTGACCCACTCCACACGCGTCCCTCTCTGGCTCTTCATGCCTGTCTCTCGCGTCTTTCCTTTGTGTCTCTGGGTCTCTTCCGTCTTCACGTCTCTCTGTGCCCGGTGCTGTTTGCGTTCGTGTCTCTGCGTGTCCTGTCCACCCCCCACCCCCCCGTTGCCTCCGTGTCTGCATCTCTGTCCGTGTCTGTCTCCGTGTCTTGTTTCTGTGCCTGTCTCCACCGCCTTTGCCACCCTCATGGCGTTGTTTACACACTGCACTGCAACCATTTCATGTTTCAGTTTTCATTTATTAGGTATAACACTGTGAGCCATGCGGCTCTTGACTCGGGTGCAACCGCAACAAAACAAAAACATGAGCACGAAACATCTTAAAGTGACTGCACGCAACAGAAAATTCCTGGAAAAAAACAGCAAAGTCTTCCAGAAAAAACACCAAATATTTCAGCGCTGTGTGCAAAAATCCCAGTTGGGTGCAAGTCAAACAATAACAATCATAAGACAATGCAGATTAAAGTTATCAGGCCAACTCTGTACTACAACAAACACACATGGCTAAACCAAAACGTTTTTAAAATTACCAAAATAAAGCCACAAAAACAATGTAACAGTGAGGCTGAGTCGACCTAGGGGTGGCCAATAACTGGTTCAGATAATTGTCACTGGTGTTGGCCGTGAGCGGGAATCGAACTCGGGCCGCCTGCTTCGTAGCTACACTACCCCTCCCCAAAGACAAAGATCCCCCATATCGCCTTCGACAGACTGTAGGGGCAAGTGCTGTTAGCGAGTAGCACCTATGAAGGCCGGCACGGCACACGAAGGGGTGGGTGGCCAACACTGTGTCCGGCACCACACACACACCCGTGCGTACAACCGTACAATGCCACCAAGCGTCGTGGTGACATCACCACGACGCTTGTGCCAGGCCATGTGCACCTTGAAGCCACGTGAAGTGTCGAACACCCGCTGGCAGAAGGTCACGGGGCAGACCCAGCAGGTGCCACGGGTCGACTGACTGAGATGACCACACACACGCACGCACACACCATCCCAGATCTCTCCGTGCGCGCGTGAGCTGCACCTCTGTGAAATGGGCCCTGAAGAGAAATTAGCGGCGGGGAGGGAGGGAGGAGGAGCGCGGGAAGACCGCACGATGAGACCCTAACGACGTCCCAGCAGCTCCGGGCAGCTGTGCCCCCAGATTGCCCGCGATGCCACCTCGCCCGCGGGTTTATATCTTTACGTACAGGTGGGCGAGATGTTAACTACCTCACCTGGTATGCAGGAGGTCGTGGGTTCGATCCCGACCCCTGACGCCTGCTGCTGTATATTTTAAGTTTGAGTGTCTCTCTCTCATCATCATCACGGTGACTGGGAGATGTTGACTACCTCGCCTGGTATGCAGGAGGTCGTGGGTTCGATCCCGATCCCTGATGCCTGCTGCTGTATATTTGGAGTTTGCGTGTCTCTCTCTCTCACCATCATCACGGTGGCTAGGAAATGTTGATTACCTCGCCTGGTATGCAGGAGGTCGTGGGTTCGATCCCGACCCCTGACGCCTACTGTATATTTGGAGTTTACGTGTCTCTCTCTCATCATCATCACGGTGACTGGGAGATGTTAACTACCTCGCCTGGTATGCAGGAGGTCGTGGGTTTGATCCCGACCCCTGACGCCTACTGTAGATTTGGAGTTTGCGTGTCTCTCTCTCTCATCATCATCACGTTGGCTAGGAGATGTTAACTGCCTCGCCTGGTATGCAGGAGGTCGTGGGTTCGATCCCGACCCCTGACGCCTGCTGTATATTTGGAGTTTCCGTGTCTCTCTCATCATCATCACGTTGGATAGGAGATGTTAACTGCCTCGCCTGGTATGCAGGAGGTCGTGGGTTCGATCCCGACCCCTGACGCCTACTGGAGATTTGGAGTTTGCGTGTCTTTCTCTCCCCGTGGTCGCGTGGATTTTTTTCCGGGTCCTTCGGTTTTTTAACCTCCGCATTTAGAATCGACGTGTTTTTTTTTAGTATTCGGCTGCTATAAATGTCTACATGATAAGCCACTTCGTTGAGCTACCATTTGTGGCCAGGTCACTTCTGGAAAAGAGCCGTGTAGCTAACTGGGCCTTACCTGCTAAAATAAAATAGTTTTAATTTTATAAAAAGATCGCTATCGTCATCATTACCAACACCGCCGTTACTACCGCTACTACTACTACGCATGGTCGCATGGCTCATATGTACGTGCGAGTCCCTGGCGCGGTGTGTAGTAAACATCGCCACTGGGGAGACAAAGGCGGCCAGGCGCGGTGCTGGCCACCCACCCCCTCGTGCGCCGTGCCGGCCTCCGCGCTCGCCGACAGCACTTGCCCCAACAGTCTGTCAAGGCTATACGGGGGATCTTTGTCTTGGTCGTCTCGTGCATTGATAATCCACGGCTGCCTTGTCACTCCACTGCTAGATGAAGACCCCCCCCGTGTTGTGTCGACCGTGGTGGTAGTTGGACCACACTTCACCGTACCCGGGTCGCCAGGGTGCAGAGTGTGGCAGCGTGCGCTAACCGCTGCACCTCCCATCCTGTTCCCTCAAGCGCGCTAACCGCTGCACCTCCCATCCTGTTCCCTCACGCGGCGTGTTCACGTCGCCGCGCTAATTGGGAGCTTGGCGTGAATCGTTGTCACCCTCCTGACCGCGCGTTCGTCTTGCTCACCCCGCCTCACCCCGACTCACTCACCTCACCACCCTCACCTCACCTCCCCCACCTCACTCACCACACTCACCACCCTCACCACACTCACCTCACTCACCTCACTCTCCACCCCTACCTCACTCACCACCCCCACCTCACCACCCTCACCTCACTCTCCACCCCCACCTCACTCACCACCCCCACCTCACCGTCCTCACCTCACTCACCACCCCCACCTCCCCCACTTCACTCGCCACCCCCACCTCAATCACCACCCCCACCTCACTCACCACCCTCACCACCCTCACCACCCCCACCTCACTCACCACCCTCACCACCCCCACCTCACTCACCACCCTCACCCCACTCACGTCACTCACCTCACTCACCACCCTCACCTCACTCTCCACCCCCACCTCAATCACCCCCCCCACCTCACCACCCTCACCACCCCCACCTCACTCACCACCCTCACCTCACTCACCTCACTCACCTCACTCTCCACCCTCACCTCACTCACCTCACTCACCACCCTCACCTCCCCCACCTCACTCACCACCCTCACCTCCCTCACCTCACTCACCACCCCCACCTCCCCCACCTCACTCACCACCCTCACCTCCCTCACCTCACTCACCACCCCCACCTCCCCCACCTCACTCACCACCCCCACCTCCCTCACCTCCCTCACCACCCTCACCTCACCCACCTCACCACCCTCACCTCACCCCCCCGCCACCTCACTCACCACCCCCACTTCACTCACCTCACCACCATCACCTCTCTCACCACCCCCACCTCACTCACTACACTCACCACCCTCACCTCACTCACCTCACCACCCTCACCACCCCCACCTCCCCCCCCCACCACCTCACCACCCTCACTCACCTCACTCACCTCCCCCACCTCACTCACCACCCTCACCTCCCTCACCTCACTCACCACCCCCACCTCACTCACCACACTCACCACCCTCACCACCCTCACCACCCTCACCTCACTCACCACACTCACCTCACTCACCTCCCCCACCTCACTCACCACCCTCACCTCCCTCACCTCACTCACCACCCCCACCTCACTCACCACACTCACCACCCTCACCACCCTCACCACCCTCACCTCACTCACCACACTCACCTCACTCACCTCCCCCACCTCACTCACCACCCTCACCTCCCTCACCTCACTCACCACCCTCACCTCCGTCACCTCACTCACCACCCCCACCTCACTCACCTCACTCACCTCACCACCATCACCACCCTCACCACCCTCACCTCCCCCATTTCACCACCCTCACCTCCCCCATCTCACTCACTACACCCACCTCACTCACCACCCCCACCTCACTCACCTCACTCACCTCCCCCACCTCACTCACCTCCCCCACCTCCCCACCTCACTCACCACACTCACCCCACCTCACCTCCCTCACCTCACTCACCACACTCACCACCCTCACCTCCCTCACCACCCTCACCTCCCCCACCTCACCACCCTCACTCACCTCCCTCACCTCACTCACCACCCCCACCACACTCATTCACCACCCTCACCACACTCACTCACCACCCTCACCACCCTCACCTCACTCACCACCCCCACCACACTCACCTCACTCAACACTCACCTCACTCACCTCACCTCACTCACCACACTCACCACTCCCACCTCACCACCCTCACCACCCTCACCACCCTCACCACCCTCACCTCACTCACCACACTCACCTCACTCACCTCCCCCACCTCACTCACCACCCTCACCTCCCTCACCTCACTCACCACCCTCACCTCCGTCACCTCACTCACCACCCCCACCTCACTCACCTCACTCACCTCACCACCATCACCACCCTCACCACCCTCACCTCCCCCATTTCACCACCCTCACCTCCCCCATCTCACTCACTACACCCACCTCACTCACCACCCCCACCTCACTCACCTCACTCACCTCCCCCACCTCACTCACCTCCCCCACCTCCCCACCTCACTCACCACACTCACCCCACCTCACCTCCCTCACCTCACTCACCACACTCACCACCATCACCTCCCTCACCACCCTCACCTCCCCCACCTCACCACCCTCACTCACCTCCCTCACCTCACTCACCACCCCCACCACACTCATTCACCACCCTCACCACACTCACTCACCACCCTCACCACCCTCACCTTACTCACCACCCCCACCACACTCACCTCACTCAACACTCACCTCACTCACCTCACCTCACTCACCACACTCACCACTCCCACCTCACCACC